TCTTACCTGGGACCACGGCTGTGCGTGGAGATGCGACCTCCGGGCCGCAGCTGCCCTGCCCAGCTGCAAACAGCTCCGTCCCCACCCGCCCGGACCGGGCCATGGCCTTGACTGACTGCAGGCTCAGTACTTTCCCAGACCTGCATCGACCGGAAGTGGGGGGCAGATGCTGTCAGGCAGGCGCCCTATAGAATGTGCCTATGACCCTTTCCTCTCTAGGACGCTGGGAGGTCTCAGAAGGAGGTATATCTCTATGGTCAGTCATGGCCCGTGCAGGCTCCCCATCTTTCTCCTGGCTCTACTGCCCCTCCCTACATTTTTCATTTTTTTTTTTTAAATGAAACTGTACAAAAAAGGAGCTTCTCTGCCCTAGGCTAAGAGATGCATTAGTCTATGCGTATAAACATAAATATTTTATCATTTTAAATGTAACTATTCACTGTGTGTTAGGACAACCAGAGGACTCAGTTCTCACCTTCTACCACGTATGTAGGTCCCAGGGATAGAACTCAGACCATCGGGCTTGGGGACAAGCACCTTGACCCACTGAGTCACCTCACTGGCCGTGAACATAAATATCTAGAAGGCAATCTGACAGTATGTTCCTTTAGGAAATGTGATGGTTAGTTTTAACTGTCACCTTGATAATCTAGGATCACCTAGGAAGAATCTCAGTGAAGGGCCTAGACAATCCCTCCCTGTCAGGTTGGCCTGTGGGCTTGATGTGGGAAGACCCAGGCTACTGTGGGTGGCACCGTTCCTGGGTTTGGGTCTTGGACTCTGAAAGAATGGAGAAAGGGAGCTCAGTAGTAAGCACACATATATTAATTCATTTCTCCCTGCTCTCGACTGTAGCTGTGATGTGACCAGTGGCTTCCAGTTCCTGCTGCCTCGACTTCCCTACAATGGACTGTAACTTGGAATTGTGAGCTAAAATAAACACAATCTTCTCAACGATGTTTTTGCTTGATAAGGTCTCTCCATGTAGCCTGGCTGTTCAGGAACTTGCTGTGTAGACCAGGCTGGCCTCAAACTCACAGAGATTCACCTGCCTCTGCCTCCGGAGTGCTGGGATTAAAGGCATACATCACCACCACCGTGTGCCTTCATGTTTTAACTATAATGGAATTACTATAAAAGACATGAATACCAGATTCTCAGGGAAAACAAAGTTACATCTTGTGATAAGAGGGTTGTCTTAGGGCAGGTGACATTTCAGTTGGGATTAGACATGAGGGATTTTCCCTTTCTGGAAAAGAGAGAGAAGGGTATTGAAACCAGAGACTGGTGCTCAGGTCAGACATGGTGGTACACATCTTTAATATCAGCACTCAGGAGGCAGAGACAGGCAGATCTCTGTGAGTTCAAGGCCAATCTGGTCTACATAGTTTCAGTCCAGCCAGAACTACATACTGAGACCTTCTCAAAGATTAAGTAAATAAGTAAACAAAAAATAAATAATAAAATAAAAAGAGACTGGTGCTTGGAAAGGCATAAATATTTGAAGGAAATGGTATGTTAGAAGATTTCTGATGTACTTCATGTGCCCCAAACTCATCAATGGAAGAGAGAAGCCTGAGCAAGGTAGTGCATGCCTGGAATCCCAATGAACTCAGGCTGACCTGAGCTGTATAGTAAAATCAGATGCAGCCTGAGCTACATAGTGAGTTTGAGGCCAGTTTGGGTGACATATAATGAGAGAAAGAGATAGATGATAGATAGATAGATAGATAGATAGATAGATAGATAGATAGATAGATAGATAGATAGATGACAGACAGACAGACAGAGAGGGAGAACCCACTCACCCAGGAGATCTCTGACTTCAGGACAGGATGAAATAGTGCTGACACAGTGGTAGCTGACCCCACTGTCTCTCCACAGGCCCAGGTTCCAGGCTAGCCAGGGCTACCTATCGAGACTCTAGTCACAAAAGAAAAAAAACTGGGTAAAGACTTGTAAAAATGGTAGGTTTGATAAGCAACATAAGACCAAAATTTCCTAGTAAGATTTTGTTACATGTGGTTGGTTGAGATGGCTTAGTGATTAAAGGTTCCTGCCACCAGGCCTGACAACCTGAGGTCAATTTCTGGATCCATTTGGAGGAAAGAGACAACCAACTCCCAGAAGTTGTCCTCTGGCCTCTACATTTGCACCATGGTACACCCACACACAAATAAATAAAATGTATTTTTTAAATTAAAAACCAATTTTGTTTCATGTGCAAATGTGAAGACTCACTTTTTTCATAGTTAGGATAAAATAACTCCACCCATGGAAAACCAGATCTCCATTAAATCAAAAGTGTTCTGCACCCCACAGGAACCTCTCACCCCTATTTAATTTTTGTAGTTAATAAAAGAAGTGAGAGAGGCTGGGCAGTGGTGGCACACACCTTTAATCCCAGCACTTGGGAGACAGAGGCAGGCAGATCTCTGAGTTCGAAGCCAGCCTGGTCTACAGAATGAGTTCCAGGTCAGTCAAGGCTACACAGAGAAACCCTGTCTATAAAACAAAAACATAAAACAAATGCAAAACAAAAAAGGTACCACAGAAGACCTAGACATTTCAGACATCTCTCCTTGGGTAAAATCTGTGGTCCTCAGTCAGGGCAGTTTCACATCTCAAGTATTCTTCAGTGCCTGTGGATAGTTTGGGTTCCGTTAAACCAAGAGGACCCCTGAGGCTACAAGCAGCTGGTGGGCAGAAAGAAGGCAGGGGTGATATTACTGATCCTTCAAGAAACAGAGTCCCCCACATCAAAGATTATCCATCCCTGCTGGCTGTGATGGCTCACGCACTTGGGAGGCAGAGGCAGGTGGATCTCTGTGAGTTTGACGCCAGCCTGGTCAACCTAGGGAGGGCCTCCCTAAAACAAATAAGCAAACGAAAGCAAGCATGGTGGACCACACCACACTTGTAATCCCAGCACTCAAGGGATGCAGGCAGATAGCAAACTCACTGTTGTATCTACAGCTAATTCAAGGAAAGCCTGGGCTACATGAGAACTTGCCTCAAAAAGACAAAAATGAAATAATGCAATGAAATAAAGGGGCCCAAGTGCCTTCACTGTCTTCCAAGTTCACTATATTTGTGTTACCTCCTAAGCATCCCCAGGCCTGAACACATTATCTGCCAAGGACCACCCACAGCTGCTTAGGACCTAAGTCCAGGCCCTGCTTCTCTAGTTGGGATCTCTTCTTGGCTGGGGCTGTGCCTGTGCATGTGGATACTGAGGGTGCCATCTGGGTGCTGGGAGCTTCAGCCTTGCAGAGCAGAACCCTTCCTCAGTCCCACGTAGAGCACTACTGACTTAGAAGGAATATTTGTGGCTACGATTGTTCCCACCCCACCAACATACCTGATACGATTAGCCTCTTCTTGGCTTCCTGTTTTCCCCTCATCCCAAGAGAGTGGAGACTCAGAGAAAACACCCTCATGGGGTTGGCAAGATGAATCTGCAGATAAAGGCACTTGCCACAAACCCTGATCACCTAAGTTCCATCCTGGGGGTCAGCGCATATGATGGACAGAGAAAACCAATTCCTGAAAGGTTGTCCTCTGACCTCCACATGTGTGCAA